GGGAAATTCAAATCCCGGGCTTCATTTGCAACTGCGGATGACTACATTACCCCCGCTAGTTCGAACTAGCGGGGTAGTGTAGACATACCCTTATTGATACTTCAGTCAGTTGAGGATATTCTTCTGTTGTGTTAAATCTTTAAATCATCCCTTTCCATTCAATCTAGAGTCATTTAAATTAGCAAAACTAACTTGTGCACCACAGCATGAGGCTGTTGTCAATCGTTCACTAAACTTAACTTTCAGGTTAGGCAAAGATGGATTCCATTGGTTTGGATTTTATGAATACTGAATACTTTTTAGTTTGTTAGTGTTCTCAAGTGGGATTTTAGTGTACACAGGATTTCCTTTCTCGCCTACCCCATCTTTCTTGCATCTGATTCCCCGATTTACTGTAGCAGACCCCACAATCAGAGCAGATGACATTAGTCATATAAGGAACTTATACTGAACATGTCTCATGAGTGTTGTCCTGTTAAAGACCCTTGGGGTGTAAAACACCGCTCTCACATGTGCTCCAAATGCAGGCATGAATGCATTGGGAAACACTGTTAGAAAAACCCACCCCATCCCCCACTTGGGGAATCTTGTAAACATGGCGGCTACGTCTAGACTGGCAAGTGCTTTTGCGGAAAATCTTGCCAGTCTAGATGCAGATTTATCATCTGTTTTAAAATGAGTGGCACAAAATGAGGGAAACAGTTCTCCACCCCCTAGATTCATTGCCAGTTCCTCCTTGAATCTGAGTCATTGTCCAGTAAAATGGAGCGTATAGAAGTCAGAGCCATGCATATAGTTTATGACTATATCAAGCATTTCTGAAGTATGAAAATAAAGTGGGTTTTGTGCACTTTTGAAGCACATTCATGTGTTTTATACATTGTGGCTGTGTCTAGACTGGCAAGTTTTTCCGCAAAATCATCTGCTTTTGCGGAAAAACTTGCCAGCTGTCTACACTGGCCGCTTGAATTTCCACAAAAGCACTGACGATCTCATGTAAGATTGTCACTGCTTTTGCGGAAAAACTATGCTGCTCCCTCTGAAAAGCTTTTGCGCAAAAGGGCCAGTGTAGACAGCAGAGATTTGTTTTCCGCAAAAAAGCCCCGATGGCGTGTCTAGATTGGCATGGACGCTTTTCCGCAAAAAGTGCTTTTGTGGAAAAGCGTCTGTGCTGATCTAGACGCATTTTTCCGAAAATGCTTTTAACAGAAAACTTTTCTGTTAAAAGCATTTCCGGAAAATCATGCCAGTCTAGACGTAGCCTGTATGTACTGATTTTTCTGTAGTTTTATGTGTATGAGTGCATGCGTGTTTCTAGGTGGCAATAATACATGCTGTAGATGGTACCCTTTGTGCTCCATCAAACTAGGTGAAGCTAAGCACAGGGCTATGAGTTTGTCTCCCAGGCTGCAAAGCTAACATTTCTATAAAGCTGGCTACACTGTGAGGGTAGGACAGAGCATCATAATTCACTTGGATAGGATACTAAGTCTGTGCTACTCCAGACTGCTCCAGAAGAGGTTTTGTTGGAACTGCTAACTGCTAATGGCAAACTTCTTTCTTATCGTTTCTTTAAAGCAGGGCTACTCAACACGTGGCCCGTGGGCCTCATGCGGCCCGCGGCCTGTTTGTTTGCGGCTCACGGGTGGGAGCTGACAGAGAATTTAATCCAAGGGTTCGGATGGGGGCCCAAAACCCCTACCAAATCAATTCCAGACACCCTTCTTAAGCAACCAGCTTTATTCAGGAATGCATTCCAGGGCAAAAATCTCCAGGATACGCAGGAAAAAGTTTCTGCAAAGTTTCTGCAACTGCCCAAACAAAAGGCAAGGTCTTTTGGACTATCTTACATGGTAATTACCCCTCTTTCACTGACCACTTACAATTGCATGCATATACAGGTCATGCCCC